ACCCTATCATACATCGCTTTTAAATTATTCACTCCCTCATCTGTTTCAATGCAGTATACGCAGTTTATCCAGTTTTTCTCAGTCTTACCCCAACCCTGATATCAATCCCTTTTTACAGCAGTGGCACCATGCAGTATTTGTCCTTTTGTGACTGAGATATTTAACTCAGCATAATGTCCTCCGGGCTCACCCATTTTGAATAATATTGCATGAGTTCCTTGTTTTTCAATGCAGTGTAGTATTCCATTGTGTGAATATACCACAGCTTCTCTATCCGTTCGTTTGTTGATGGGCACCTGGGTTGTTTACAACTCCTTGCTATTGTGAACAAAGCCACGATAAACATGGGTGTGCATATATCTTCTTAGATGTCAGTTATGGTCTCTTTGGGATATATTCCCAGTACTGGAATTGCTGGGTCAAATGGTATCTCTATTTGCAACTTTTTGAGAAAGCACCATACCGCCTTCCACAGTTGTTGCACCATTTTACACTCCCACCATCAGTGAATAAGAGTTCCAGTTTCTCCACAACCTCGCCAGCATTTGTTGCTTGCTGTTCCGTTGAAGTTTGCTATTCTAATTGGGGTGAGGTGATATCTCATAGTTGTTTTGATTTGCATCTCTCTTAGAGCTAGGGATTTTGAACATTTCTTCATGTGCTTATTGGCCATCTGACTATCTTCTTTGGTGAAGTGTCTATTCATATCCTGTGCCCATTTTTCAATTGGATTATTTACCTCTATCTTGTTGTGGTGCTCAAGTATTTTATAAATTCTAGATATAAGTCCCTTATCTGACATGTCATTCCCAAATACTTTTTCCCAGTCTGTGGCTTCCCTTTTTATCCTGTTGGAGAAATTTTTGGTTGTGCATAGGAATTTGATTCTTAGAGGGTCCCATTCATCTATTTTATCTTCTCCTGGTTGTAGATACTGTTTTCCTTTAAAAGAAGAGGTTAGGCAATATCCATATGATTGCTGAATGAAGAGGGACAGTACCCCCCCCATGGGATTTAAATTCTCTGAAAACCCACTGGAGAGTCAGCTGAGGGGTTCTGACTTGATACATAACAAGAACAACATCTTTGATTAATTATTTCTGGCTTACTTAATCACCAAACTAAAAAAAACAAACCTACTACTATATAGTTGGTTCCAATTTATAGACCTTTCATTGGGTTTCCAAGGCAGTATATCTTTATGGAAGGAAATTGCTATTCTTCTGTGGATCCACTGGTGCATTTGAACTGTCAACCTTTTGTTTAGCAGCCCAACAAACCACACACTATACTACCAGAGCTCTTTTAGTCAGCCAGTGAAAGGACAAGAGTCTACTTGAAGGCATTCCAGTGTCATGTATTTACTGTTTTGCTGGTAATAATAGAAAAGGCGCAGGATAGGGAGCTTTAAAATCCCTGTATCCTTCACCAATTTCATCCTCCTTAGATCCACTAACAATACCCATAGTAGAAGCAGTTAGGAAACAAAAAGATAATTTGGGTTTGTTAACTGATTTAGTGTTAGTAGTATTACATTGGACAAATCTGCTGTCAAAGACCTCTTTAAAGAGCAAAAATGCTGATTTGAAGACTAATGTACACTTGGTCCAAAACACATAATCTTTTTGGTCTTGGGACCCCAGGCAAGTTAAGTTTAATTGTTTGTGGGGTTTTCCCCAACTGTGATAAATATATACACTTAAAATTTGCCATACCAGCCATCCAAAATATACAATTAGAAAACCTATGGAACAGAGGATATTATTGTTGATTTCAGATGTATCTTGGCAGAAATGAGAATACCAGAATGCCATTGTTGTTAAGTCTGAAAAGTCATAGCTGACCCTCCAACAGGTTTTCAGAGGCTATAAATTGCATGACAGAAAAGTGCCCATCTTTCTCCCATGCAGGAGCTGATTAATTTACAGTGCCTGCCTTTAGGTTTCCACTGTGCAACCAGAATGCCCTAAAAAGATGTTTAATTGTATTCTATTGACTATCCAAAAGTATTTGACTGTGTGGATCATAATAAGTTATTAATAACATTGAGAACTTAATTGTGCTCATGCAAAACCTATACATAAATCAAGAAGCAGTTATCTGAAAAAAAATAAAGAAGCACTGAGTGGTTTAAAATCAGGAAAGCTATGCGTCGGAGTTATCTCCTTCCTCTATATCTATTCAATCTGTATATTGAGCAAATAGCCCTAGAAGCTGAACTATATGAAGAAGAATATAGCATCAAGATTGAAGGAAGACTTATCAACAATTTACATTATGGAGATAACACAATTTTCCTTAGTGGAAGGGAAAACTTGAAGCTCTTTCTAAAGAAAACCAAAGAGTACAGCCTTCAATATGAATTACATCTCAATATCAAGAAAAGAAAAATCCCCACAACTAGACCAGGAGTCAACATCTTAATATTAATAGATGGAGAAAGGATAGAACTTGTCAACTACTTCATTTTACTTAGATCCATAATCAACACCCATAGTAGCAGCAGTCAAGAAATCAAACGACAACATTGCATTGTACAGATTTACTATCAAGGACCTCTCCAAAAAGAGCAAGAATGTCCATTTAAAGACTAATGTGTGCCTGGTGGAAGCCATGGTATTTTCCATTGTTTCTTATGCATCTGAAAATAGAACACTCAATGAGGAAGACTAAAGAATGGATGCTTTTGGATTGTGTTGGCAAAGAGTGCTGAATCTCCCAAACTGACAAAAGCTGTGTCTTTGAGGAGGTACTCTTAGGGTGCTTCTTAAAGAAAGGACCTTGGGAAAACACATCCTGGGAAAAGGTGGAGGGTTATTGAAAGCGAGGAGGACTCTCACTAAGATGGGTTGACACTGTGACTATAACAATGTGGGGCAAGATTCTGATCTGTTCTTCACAGGATCTCTTTAAGTTGTGGACAGCAACAGCTAAGGAAATTCAGTGACAGTAATTACAATCATAGTGTTGTGCAGCCATCACCATTAGCCCTCCACTGGGAAAGGAAATAACACTTGTTTTGTACACATTGTGATATTACTCTAAGGACTGGTGGAATGATAACTGTGAGTGTTGTTAGGGTCCGACTAGGCAGTAGTTAGACAGAAAGAGAAGTGCATGAATGATGTCAAAGACAATGGACCAAAACTGCCCACTATAAAAAAAGTGGAGAAAAGGCTTGTTTTTTTTTATTAAATTTTATTAGTTTTAATGAACATTTACAGAGATTTTGAGTTTTCATTCATTCATTGTTGCACTGTTTTCTCCACCCTCCTCCCCAGTTCGTTCTTCTTCCCCTCCCCCCCATGTCTGTTTTAATTGTGAGAAAGGGCTTTTTTAGCCTTACTTCCCTCCTCTACTGGAAAATGGCTTATCCCCATCTCTGGGTTGTATTTTTCAAATAAAACAATCTTTGTTTTTACTTTATTTTTGTTTCTTCATTTTACATCTTAACTACAAACTCTAACTAAACCTCAGAGCATGCCGAGATTATTTCCGTGCATAATGAAACCAGAGGATTCTTGTTTTCCTTTTGTCCTCTATCTGGCACACTTCTTTATCTAGGCAAGGAGGACCAAATCTGGGTTTTCTATCTGCATGTAACAGGTGCGTTGTTAAGCTTAAAATTAATACTCAAATGTAGAAAGTAAATTTATCCCTAATAAACACAGTAATCTTTGCTTTATTGAAAATATGAACCTCTCCCGTGTTCCAGAGTGGGAACTGTGTCTGTGCTGACTGAGGTTCATTGCTCTGGACCTGCAGAGGAAGCTGAGGAGCTGGTCCAGTTTGTTTAATTCAAGAAGGTTCTGGAAAGATAGAAGAAACATAAGAAGTGAAATGAGGATGAATCAAAGACAGAAGATGAAGAGGAGAAAAGTCAGGAGGAAATGGAACAGAAAGAACACTCAACATTCAGAGGCCAAAGAAGAAGACTCCTATGACACCCTATTACTTCATTGACACAGAGGAGGAAATGCCTCAAGTTGTACTGTCAAGAGATAGCAGAACCACAAGAGACCAAAGATTCCCAGAGGGTGGAGATGAGAGAATCCAGGCTGAAGGCATTCAAGGTGGCTTTCTCAGAGGTGTTCCAAGAAGCCCACCCTCTGTCTGTGGGTGTGAATAGCCTTACAGAATCCATCAGTGGGGAGACAGAAGAGCCCTTTTCTCCAGAGTAGATCCAGGCTACCCTAAGCAAAACACAGGCCAACAGCTATGTCATGGTGTCTGCACTCATTATTTTCTTCATGTTAAGAGGGCTTAGTTGGACTTTTGGAGTTATGCCAACCAAGTTTCTCCCATGCTTCCTACCTCCTCCTTCATCTTGGCCTTTTCCTTCATTACCCAAATAGCAGTAGTTGATTGAATGGATGCTGGTGACAAAGCTGATTAGATGGAAACTTTAGAAATGGGTATCGTTCCTAGCATAGTGAAACCAAAAGGAAGGTAGAGACTGAGGCAATTGCCTGATACTTCATGTAAGTTACTGGGTGTTCATTCCTGACTTCCTCTCCCAAGCCAAACCACTGTTTTCTGTAAATAACATGTGATGCCTGAGTGGGGTTTTGATGGCAAACGGGGCAAATAGGGGAAAGAACACAGCTGGTTTCTCCTTATCCTTTCTGATTTTTGTGATTGGGTTGTTTGTTTGTGTTGTTGTTTTCTTCTCTCCCTTAAGAGCTCTGGGGTTTAGAACATCACTTCGTTTCTAGTACTCTATAGCTAGTTATCCTTTTCTTTCTTTACCTTGACCTTTTGAAAATGAAGAATCTTGGGCTCAGGCACCAGCCTCCAGGGCTGAGCTGGGCTTGGTGATATAACCTGGGGCTTCTTCAGGAGTAGAGTAGGTGATGGGGTGGTAAAGACCCTGGAACCAGCAGCCTGAGGACAGGGTGACTTTCTCTATTGTAATGAAAGGATCCATACTTCCTGGATCTCTCAAGTCTCCAGGTTCCTGCTGCTGTGAGTGCACTGATTCCTGTGTGTTTCTGTTAAAGATTTACGTCCACCTGAAGGAAGGTGGAGGCCCAGATGGACTGGATGCTCTGAAGAATAAGCCCCAACTCCATAGCCTGGTGGCTAAGAGCCTCTGCCGCAACGCAGCGGGCAAGAACTACATCATCTTCACGGGGCCCAGCATCACCAGCCTGACCCTGTTTGAAGAGTTTGAGAAGCAAGGTTTGTCAAATGGAGGGCTGGTGAGAGCAGGGCTCCTTCCTCCCCACAGAAGTGGGTGGGAAAGGCCAGAGGGAACCAGGGCCTTCTGGAGCTGAGTCTTGTGGCCAGAAGGTGCACGGGCCTCAGCACACTGACCTCAGGCTCATTCCCTTCGTGCTGTACCAGAGCTCCTTTAGTCAACCAGTGATGGGACAGAGCCATCAGAGGACTTCTCAGGAGTTTCAGAAATCACCCCTAGTCTATCGCCCTCCCCTTTCCCAGATAACAGAAGGGAAGCTGTAGTCTGCAAAAAAGCGTAGATTAAGGTAAGGAGCCATGCAGTAGGCCCAGAGAGGTCTTAGTTCCCCAGGGGGGATAAAAAAGGTAATTAGTTTGTTTGTTGCAAAATTGAAACTAAACCAAGCCCATTGAAGTTAATTACCTGGTGACGTGCTTTAGAAAATTCTTGAAAACCCTGTGAAGTAGTTCTACTCTGAATCCATTTGACAGAAGCTAATAAGAAATTGGCATGGAAGCACATCACCAGGCCTTTTCCTCCGTGCCCAAGCTGAGTTCAAACCACCAATATTAGGTAATAGTGGACAAGTGCTGTTCAGTGCAAAGACAGAGCAAAACTATCCAAAGCTCCAGCAGAAATAGGTCTGTAGGAAGAAGATCCAGAACCAGCCAGGGATCCCAGAGCAAGCTGTATCGCCTTTGCTGTGTCCTGAGCTGGGGATTGATACTGGGTCCACTCAAGAGAAACACAGGCACTCTGCTTCTCCTCAGCAGCCTCCAGAGCTGCAGGCTGTTACTCAGCAGCAGAGCAGAAATTTGATCTTAAAACTAAGTCAGTAATGTGGCAGCCTAGGTGGATCTTACTCACCTGTTATATCCCCAGTGCCCAGCAGGGCCTGCTTGTGAGTGCTCAGTATTTATTTGCCAAAAGAATTCATTGTAGAGTGATCAGACTGTGAAAAAAGACTGTGGAAGTAAAAAGTTGAAGAAATCCCTCTAACGCACATTAACCTGCTGCGTTAGAAGTATGTAGGCCCTCCGTTATTGAGATAGTGTGACTCCCAGAGGCTGGGACACCCTCCACCGGTACAAGTGGCAGGTGGCAAGCACCCTAAAGAACCTCTGCAGCCTCTGGAATGTGCTCACAGCACAGGTGTGAATTGCAGGGGTGCCTCCATCAAACTGCACTGTGAGCTGGTGGTGTTCCCAAAGCCAGCCGTCTGTGAGCGTAGCAGAGGGCTAATGTAGTGAAGACAGCTTCCCAAAGGAGTACCGAGTCAGGAGCACCGGGGAAGTACCATGGACCATCTTTTTGGAGCAGACCGTTAGTGCTGCTTCCTGGAGCACTAGAGACGTGCCCTGTGGTTCTGGAGAGAAGAGGCTGTTCCCTAGCTCAATGAAATGTATGCTCCATGAGTGGGAGGAACATCTAGCAGGAGGAGAGTAATTCGATGTAAAATTTGGATTTTTTTTTCCAAGAGATGATTAAGTAATAGATAAAAAGAATGTGTTTATTATTCAAAAACATCTAGAGCTATTGAGCTCTTCACATGAGCCCTCTTGTGCTTTCTATCAGATGACTAGCATTTAAAACAAGCTCTCATCATGGTCTAAACCCTCCCAGCTGCCAGCCTTTCTGATGGCACTGGTCTGAGTTGGTGACTCCAGCAGCACACAGGTGCATCTTTAAAGCCCCCTTGGGGATTCTGAAAAGAGCCCTCTTGGAGCAAATGTGTTAAGTGTTAGGCTGCTCACCAAATAGGTTCCTGATTTAGACCCGCTGGCCATTCTGTGAGAGAAAGATGAAGCACTCTGCTTCCAGAAAGAGTTACAGACTCATAAACGCTGTATAGCAGTCATACTCTGCCCTGTAGGTGTGCTCTGAGTCAAAGTGCAGTAGACCTGGTTTGGTTTGCGTGGGAATCCTTCTGTACAGCAAGGGTTGGCAAAAGGATACAGTGGAGGGTCCAGCCCCTCCGAAGACACACACAGACCACCTGAAGGAATTCCTACAGTGATAACTATTTTCATAAAGGACCAACAAAGATGCTGCTGCGATTTTCTCCTCCCATGAAGATGCAGCTGCTCTTTAGCTAGTTGGATATGCTACCCCTCACATATGTGAGTTAAGACATCCTTATCCTGGTTTATGTCATCTTCCGTCCCTATTTTAAAAACATTCTTCCTTTTACACCTAAGACTTGAGTAGTTATTGGGTAATCCCATCTGACTCTCCTAGGAATAGAGGGAGCACAGGAACCCTCACCCAGCACACAGTGAGAAATCCTCTCATTTTCTAAGGATGGTCCTGCCCCATCCCGCCCCCACTCACTGCTGCTGACAAGGCCAGTGGAAGTCCAGGGTGGCTTAGAAATAAGGAGATTTTGAAAAGGAAAGGAATATCACATTTCCAGCTTAAGGTAGAGAAGCAATGATTAAGAAATGTGTAAGTTAAATGCAGAATAGTTTCCAAGTTATTGATAAAACTGTGCCAGTCTTCAGTGAGCAGAGAGAGAGTAAAAGATGAGGGGTTTTTCCAGGGGCTTAAGTCAGACAGGCTGCTTCAGTGTAACTACTGGTAGACAGGCTGGAAGACAGGAAATGCGTGCTGCCTGTGTATCTGACTCATCTGAGATCTCTCACTCCCCATAGCCTCCTCATTGCTCCCTGTGGTGTGGCCAGGATGGGGCAGAGGGATCCCGAGCAAGAATTTAAAGAGATCTCTGTTTTTTAAAATAAAAGTTATTTCCAGAATAGTTTTAGAAATACAGGAAAATGGGTTTTTACTCACACTGTCGCATTGATTCTTTAGTCTGGATGGTAGAGTTCAGGTCCTTCTCCTTCAGGAGGCCCTCCGTCCACACCCACACTGCCCCTGCCGTCACACACAAGACATGTGACTCCATCCATAACTGCTTGGTAATTCTTTCCCTCCTCAAAGATTTGGGAGCACTTCCCCACACTGTCCCAAAGGTTCACGATCAGCAGGGTCTTGTTAAGGCTAGAATAACCTGACCTGGGCTGAGGAGCTGGATAAACCTGTTTCGTACCCTTCTTCCCTCTCACTGTGTAAGCTTCAGCTCCCCTTCTGTCATGAGAGACAATCGCCCACTGAGTCTGCAGTGATGAGATGAGAGGGAACGTGTAGGTGCTTGGTATACAGTAATGCTCACTGCTACTGTTATTGCTCATTCATTTCTTCAGAGTCCTGCATGTAGCTTTAATAGATATAGTGGAGCAAACTGAAGGGTAAAATCACCCAACTTTACAGGTTTTTCTAGAAGACTCCAAGAGAATCCCTTAGACCACTATCATTTTCCCTACAGACGCCAGGAAGCAACTGTAGCCTCTGAGGCAGGTGTGTTTGGGACTCTGTTTTTCTCTCCCCATCAGAGATTTACTGCTGTGGCCTGCTCAGCTCCAGGAAGAGCGACTGCACAGGCCTGCCTCTGTCCATGCTGGCGAACCCCGCCACTCCACAGTCCCGTGGACAGTACCGAATCAAGATGAAGGGGAGCATGTCTCTGATCTGCTGGTACAACAAGGGGCACTTCCGCTTCCTGACCAATGCCTACTCCCCAGTACAGCAAGGTACTGGCTTGGGTTGAGGGGGAGGGTCTGGTGAGCATGTCAGAGGGGGTCTGGGTAGGTGTGAGCAAGACATGGTGGAACAAACGTGAATCCTCTCAGCTGTGCGGGCCTGTCCTTGGACTATCCTGTCCATTAGCTCTAGCCTGGAGACAGGGAGCTTGGATGACCTAGTGGTAAGAAGCTTCACTTCAACCACGAAAGCACACGGTTCAAATCCACCAACTGCCCCACAGGAGAAGGATGGGTAGTCTCCTCCCATGAGATTTACTGCCTCTGAAAACCCGCAGGAGGGTCAGCTATGAGTCAGTTCTGACTCGATGGCACACAAGAGCCAGGAAATAGAGAGGGCCTAGTGCTTCTTAAGCAAACAGAGGGCTGTCCGGGGAGCAATGATGATGGTGTGTGCAGGTGATTGAAAAGTCTCCTCTAAGTCTCCAATGTTGGCTACATTTGAACGGCATCTGTATAATCACTGTATCATCTGGGAGTCTGTGAAAAATCCCAATGGGAAGGGGAAGAAAATCAACTGCTCTTATATTTCAGTGTCTTCCTTATAAATTTTATTTTCTAGGTATCTTTCGTTCATTTTTTTTTTCACTGATTTTTTTTCCTAAATCAAATCCATTCATCACTGAGGGATTTATTTAGCAAGCAATTTGGTACACGTCATCTAACATCTGTTTGAGCCATGACTGACCACATGTATATATCTGTGGTACGAAAAGGTCCCACAGAGTTGAGAAATCTGTAAAACAAAGCACAACAAACATGGAAGCTCTATTCACACAGCATGTATATCTCCTGTTTCTTGTATACAAAGCGACTGGGTTACCATACGTACGTTGTTGTTATGTTGCTAAGTGCCCAGGAGTTGGCTCCCCTGGCTCCCTGCTCAGGTCTGTGCTGTCTTCACAGTCACTGTTCTGCTTGAGTCCATTGTTGCAGCTCCTGTGTCAGTCCAGCCTGTTACTGGACCATCCTCTTTTTCTCTGACCTTCTACTTTACCAAACATCATGTCTTTCTCCAGGAACTGGATCCTCCTGATAATATGCCCTAAACTGTGGGAGACAAAGTCTCATCATCCTCATTGCTAAGGAGCATTCTGGCTACATTTTTTCCAAGACAGATTTATTTATTCTTCTGGCAGTCCATGGTATATGTTATGTCCTTCACCAGCACCACAATTCATTTTGCCACATATTTAATTAATAATATAGACTATATAATCTTTATAGTCTTAATAAACACATATTACATACTTACATAGACTCTACTTTTTATCTAAAAGAATAATAGCATGTAAGAGTGTGTGCTTTGACTTGTAGACAGCTTCATTCAATCTTGTGTGTAATGCATCTCTTGAGAGTTGTAATGTTATCTCTTTGTTTCATTTTCTTTCAAAAATATTACTGTGAAGTGCATCATGGTTCCTAAAAGCAACAAAACCAGTGCTGCTGATAGCAGTAGCAAGAGGCAAAGGTGTAGTGTTGGTTTTTAAGTGAAGCAAAGGTTATTTAACAATACATAGTGGACAAGCAGTGACATTGTTGCTCACATTTTAGTTCTGTCACAGTAGATACTTATGATCTTCAAAAACAAAAATATCCTGTAAGCTATTAAAGGGTAATTTGCACCGAAGTTGACTAACAAAGCTAACAAAAATGTGTATAGGGCCTATTTTAGATATGGAGAAGTTGCTGATACTTGTTTCCATTCCAAAAAAGATGATTAGTCAGATTGGGGAAATTATCAAATAATATCGTTAAATTCATTAAATATCACATGCAAGTAAAATTTTACTGTAGATTATTCATAAATGATTTAGAACAGTTCACTGACAGAGAACTTCCAGAAAATCAAAAGGGATCCAGAAGAGATGTTGCAATGAGGGATATCATTGCTAATGTCGGAAGGATCTTGACAGAAGAAAATACCAGAAAGATATATATTGGTGATTAACTATTCAAAGGTGTTTGTATGGATTGTGATAAATTATAGTTAACGTTGAGAAGAATGAGAATCCTAGAACACTCAATTGTGCTTATACAAAACCTATACATAGACCAAGAAACAGTAGTCTGAACAGAACAAAGCAACACTACATGGTTTAAAATCAGAAAAGGTGTGTATTAAGACTGCATCCTTTATCCATACCTGTATCCAATCTGTATTCTGAGCAAATAATTTGAGAAACTGGACTGTAGGAAGAAGAATAGGACATTTGGATTGAAGAAGACTCATCAACAAGTTACATTATGCCGATGACACTACCTTGCTCGCAGAAAATGAAGAAGACAAGCACTTACTGAAGAATTTTAAAAAAAAAAAACCACCACAAAACTATAGCCTTCAATATGTATTGCATCTCAACAACAAAAAAACATAAATTCTCCCCACTGAGCTAATAGACATCATCAATTTTACTTGGATCCACAAGCAACACCCATGGTCGCAGCAAGCAAGAAATCAAAAGATGTGTTGCATTGAGCACATTTGTTGTCAAGGGCTTCTTAAAAGTGCTAAAGAACAGGGATGTGATGAATAAGGATGGCTAAAGCTGAATCAATGCATCTGAGTTGTGATATTGGTGAAGAGTTCTGAGTACTCTCTGAACTGCCAAGAGAACCAGCAAGTCTGCCTTGGAAGAAACGCTGCCAGAGTGCTGCTTTGAGGCAAAGCTGTAAAACATCATCTCACATACTTTGGGCATGTTATCTGAAGGAGCCAGTCCTTGGAAAAAGACATCACACTGGGCAAACTGGATGGTCAGGGAAAGTGGAAGACCGTCATCAAGATGGATTTACCCAATGATTCTACCAATGGGCTCAAGCGTGGCAGCTTGTGATGATGGTGCAGGACAGGCCAAGGTTAGCGTCTGTTCTTCATAGAATCTCTCTGACTTATAGTCAATCCATGCTTCCCGTCTTTTACTCCCCACCCCCACCACCTAAACTGCTCAGAGAATAAAGCTCCATTTCAGTGGAGAATGCAGTCAGAAACTTGAGCTTGTGAATGTCACTTCCTCACAGCCTCACTTGTAAGTACAAAGTTAAGGATAGATTAAGCCTCAGACCTGCCAGCCTAAAGGTGTCAACTGGAATTGGACTTTCAGTTCTAAATCTAAGGACCCAGGTGCAAGGGCATGTCATTTTCAGGGGAAATACTGAAAATGGAGGGCAAGAGCTGCTTCCTACCACATTGTCTTCTAGCAACAAGGAGTCCCAAAACAACATTAAAACTGTCTGGACAGAGAGATGAAGTAAAGAGAAGGGGTATACCAGGGAAGTTGGGAAGAGCATACAAACCTTAAAGAGAGGATATCTACAATAATATGTTCATTTTAAATATGATTATGATTTTCCTTTCCAAAGCACCATTTTCAAATACATGAATAATCTTCATAGAAACAGATGACCACATCTTTCCACTGTGAAGTGACAGCTGCCTTCAACCCTGCTACTTTCATCAGGATTGGAGATGAGCAGCTTAGCACATAACCACTATGCCTCCAAGATTCTTCTTGCTAAAATTTACTGCTTCTTTTTAATATTAGGAAGTGGGACAAAGTAATGTTAAATATCTATTTTGGGGGTTTTTGTTATGTACCATCAAGTCCGGGAGGCTGGGCTCTATGAGGAGAAATGTGGGGTCAAGATTGGTGGACGATTTATCAACAATCTGTGTTATGTGGATAACACAACCCTGCTTGCTGAAACTGAAGAGGACCTGAAGCGCCTGCTGCAGAGTGTCAAGGACTGTAGCCTCCAATATGGATTGAGGCTCAATGTCAAGAAGACAAAGATTCTCACCACTGGACCAACTGGCAGCGTCAGGATGGATGGTGAAGAGATTGAGATTGTACACAGCTTTGGTTTGCTTGGCTCCATAGTCAACAGTCTTGGCACCAGCAGCCAGGAAATTAAAAGGCATATTGCCATGGGAAAGTCTGCTGTTAGGGACCTCTCCAAAGTGCTGAAAAGCAATGGTGTCTCTTTGGAGACTAAGGTGTGTCTGATACAGGCCATGGTCTTCACAGTCACCTGTTATGCATCAGAGAGTTGGACAATAACAAGGAGGATAGAAGGAGAATTGATGCCTTTGAGCTGTGGTGCTGGAGAAGAGTATTGAGAATACCATGGACTGCTAGGAAAACAAACAAATTTGTCCTGGAAACCGGGTGGCTCCTTGGAGGCAAGGATTCTGAGGCTCCATCTAACATACTTTGGACATGTTGTGAAGAGAGACCGGTCCTTGGAGAGGGACAGCGCAGGAGAGGAAGGCCCTCTATGAGGTGGATTGATTCAGTGACTGGGATAATTGGGATGGGAGTGTCAGAGACAGTGCGATTGGCACAGGACAGAGTGGAGTTTGGGGCTGTTGTACTTAAGGTCGCTATGAGTCGCAGGCGACTCGACGGCACATAACAACAACAACCATCAAGTCAGAACTGAATCATAGTGGAGCCTCCACTGAGTTTCCAGAAGCAGTTAATTGCGTGAAAAGATTGCCCATCTTTCTCCTGCAGAGCAGAAGGTGGGTTCAAACCTCATGTGTTTGGATTTGCATTAAGCCACTAGAGCTCTCTAAATATCTATTAAAAACCTTAAAATCTAAACCATAGACTCCTTTGAAAATCTCATGGACTATGACATAGCACTGCTTCGTATCAAGAACAAGTCATTTCGACTTAGTAAATTGTCCAAGGTCCAAAGGGAATGTCACCAGGGAAAAGAGAGCTTTGAGACTAGAGGTAGGCTCCTCCTCTCCACTAGAAATCCTTCCTCCAAGGTTCAGATCTTAGGATTGGGTTTTGTTTTTAATAAAGGGATATGGATTTGCCTTTAAGTCTACTTCAAACACAAGATTAGTTAAAAACAAAACCGCCTAGCATTTTGTTATTTTTAAATGTGCCAAAACTTTTTATCTACTCCCCGTATTGATTTTTTTTACCATTTGAATAATGCTGGAATGGACATCTATATATGTACCTCTTTGGTCC